TAATAATTAATAATAATAATAATAATAATAATAATAATAATAATAATAATTAAACGGAAATCTACAGAACCGCAATGGTTTTGAAAAAAAAAAAAGAAGAAATTTATGCATTTTATTTATAAATCTTATTTATTAATCAGCCATTAGGTTTCATTTTTTAATAAGAAAATTTCCCCTCACCCTCCCTCCTCTCCCCTACCCTCCCCCTCCGGATAAAACTATTAAAAAAAAATTATGTTATTTAATTAATAAGCTAGCCAGCCTTTATAAGAAATAAAAATAAAACGTTGATATTCAATAAACAACAAATTCATACATTTAACATTCATTCATCGATTGATTGATTGATTGATTGAATAAATTCTAATGCTAATAATAATAATAATATTTTTCCATTCTAACAATATAAATGTATAGTTAATAATCCCTTCTTTTAAATCAACCGAAAAATTATTATTATTATTATTATTAATTAAAAACATTTGTCACTTTTTTACAATAAAAAAAAAAAAATATTTAATAATACTTCCGCTCTCAATAAATGCCACGTTTTCTCTCCCCCCCCCTCTCTCTATCTCTCTCTCTCTTGTTTAGAATTAAAAAAAACATGTTATTTGCATCAAAATAATTACAATTAATTAAAATTTTTTATTTATGAATATTTATTTATTTATTTATAAATGTTATTGTATTGAAAAAAAATTTTCACGTCATTATTATATACATTTATTGTTTTTCGCGATAGAGAAATTTAACAAAAAAAAAAAAAAATATTTAATGCGGTATAAACAAAATGTAAATCATTTTTTTTTTTTTTTAATTTTTTTTTTTTTTTTTTTTGTTTATAAACATTTAAAACATAACAAGTTACATAACTTTAATTATTATAACCGACATCTTCGTGTGGTGTAATAATTTATATATATATATATTTGTCAATGTCGCGGATTCGTGAATTCGTTTAAATTATTTACTCTTATTAAACATTTCTTAAATATTTGACTATGGAAAAAGGTTTTGCTAACAATCAACAATCGATAATAATAATAATAATAATAATAATAATAATAATTTAAAATTTTCACTTATACGAACGAATATACACGACGCGTTTGTTATTTTAGAAAACAAAATTAATTGCATGCGATCTCT